TGCTCCTTAGTGACCCCATTAGCCCCATTAATGACCCATTAATGACTCAATAGCCCCATTAATGACCCAATAACCCCATTAATTAATTAATAATTAATAAAATTAATTAATGAACTCATTCTCGTCGGGGTTGGGGGCGGCCAGGATGGCGCTGTGCTGCTCCTTAGTGACCCCATTAGCCCCATTAATGACCCATTAATGACTCAATAACCCCATTAATGACCCAATAACCCCATTAATTAATTAATAATTAATAAAATTAATTAATGAACTCACTCTCGTCGGGGTTGGGGGCGGCCAGGATGGCGCTGTGCTGCTCCTTAGTGACCCCATTAGCCCCATTAATGACCCATTAATGACTCAATAGCCCCATTAATGACCCAATAACCCCATTAATTAATTAATAATTAATAAAATTAATTAATGAACTCACTCTCGTCGGGGTTGGGGGCGGCCAGGATGGCGCTGTGCTGTTTCTTCACCTGCTCCACGTCCTCCGAGAGCTTCTCGATGCAGCCCCGGATCTCCTCCACCTCGAATTGGGGCAAAATTGGGGAAAATTGGGAAATTTGGGGAAAATTCGGGAAAATTTGGGGGAAATTTTGGGGGATTTTATGGGGAATTTTGGGGGAATTTTAGGGAAATTCAGGGGCACTTTGGGGGGAAAATCTGGGAAAATTTATTTTTATTTTGGGGGAAGTTTCGGGGAGATATTTGGGGATTTTTTTGGGGGGGGATTTTGGGGAAATTTGGGGGAATTTTTGGGGAATTCGGGGGGTCTCAGGAAAAAATTGGGGGGATGTTTTTGGGGGATTTGGGGGGAGTTTGGGGGAAATTTGGGGATTTTGGGGAAATCTGAGGAATTATTTTGGATTTTCAGGGGATTTTGGGGGAATTTTAGGGGTCACATTGGGAATTTAGGGGATTTTTTTGGGGTAATTTTGGGGGATTTTGGGATAATTTGGGGGGAATTTGGGAAAACTGGGGGAAGTTTGGGGAAAACTTGGGGATTTTTTTGGGTAATTTCGGGAAATTTGGGGGATTTGGGGGCAATTTTGGGGGCGTTGGAGGGATTTTGGGGGAAATTTGGGGAGTTGTAGGGATTCCAGGGGGAAACTGGGGGAATTTTAGGGGATTTTGGGAGAATTTTGGGGGAATTTGGGGATTTTTGGGGGGAATTTGGGGGAATTTTGGGGGTCCCAGGGGGACTTTTGGGGTTTTTGGGGGTCCCAGACCCATTTTTGGGGGTCCCAAATTCGTTTTTGGGGGGTCCCAAATTCATTTTTGGGGGTCCCAAACCCATTTTTGGGGGTTCCTGGGTGGTTTTTGGGGGTCCCTGGGGGTTTTTGCGGTCCCTGATCCCATTTTTTGGGGTGCCAAATTCATTTTTTGGGGTCCCAGACCCATTTTTGGGGGTCCCGAGCCCATTTTTGGGGGTCCCAAACCCATTTTTGGGTGCCCCAAACCCAATTTTGGGGGGGTCGCAAATTCGTTTTTGGGGGTCCTGAGCCCGTTTTTGGGAGTTCCTGGGTGGTTTTTGGGGGTCTCAGGGGGTTTTTGGGGGTCCCAGACCCATTTCTGGGGGTCCCAAATTCGTTTCTGGGGGTCCCGAGCCCGTTTTTGGGGTCCCACCTGCTCGAAGAACTCGTCCATGAAGTGGTCCCTGTCCACCGTCACCACCTCCTCCTCATCGTCGCTGTCCTTGGCCTGCGGGGGGCGCTCTCAGGGGGGCGTGGCCTCGGCGAGACCACGCCCATCACAAAGAAAGCCACGCCCTCCAAAGGAGAAAACCCCGCCCCCAAAACTTCCCCCCAAAATCCGAAAAAAAAAAACCCCAAAAAAATCTTAAAATCCCCCCAACCCCCAAATCCCTCCAGGAGCCCCCAAAAATGCCCCAGAAACCCAAAAAATTCACCAAAAATCCCCCCCCCATCCCCCAGCCCCGGATCCCCCCCAAAAACCCCCAAATTCCCCCCAAATCCCCCAAATCCCCCCTCGGCCCCCTCCTCCCAAATCACCCCTAAACCCCCCCAAAATCTCCCCCAAACCTCCCCAAAATGCCCCCAAAAATCCCCAAAATGCCCCCAAAAATCCCCAAAATGCCCCCAAAAATCCCCAAAATGCCCCCAAAAATCCCCAAAATGTCCCCAGAATCCCCGGGACTCCCCCAAAACCCCCAAATCCCCCCCGAGAGCTCCCAAAAATTCTTCCAAAAATCCCCCCCCCAAAAATCCCCTCCGGACCCCCCCCAAAATCAGCCCCACGATGCCAAACTTCCCCTCCCCCCCCCACGAAATTAAAAAAATAATCCCCGAAAATTAAAAAAAAAATTTCCAAAAAATCCCAAAAAATCCCAAAAAAATCCCAAAAAATCCAAAAAAATTCCCAAAAAATCCCTAAAATCCCGTCCCATCCCCCACCACGACCGAGACCCCAAAAAACCCCCGGGACCCCCAAAGTCGCCCCCAAAATCGTCCCCAGACCCCAAAAAATCCCCAAAACATCCCCAAAATCCCCCAAAAATCCCCAAAAATTCCCGATAATTCCCGAGACCCCTCCCCACCATTCCCCACCCCCACCCCCCCCAAAGCCCCCCTGGGACCCCCCAAAATCGCCCCCAGACCCCAAAAATCCCCCCAAAAAATTCAATAAAAAATCCTAAAAAATCCAAAATAGTCCCAAAAATTCCAAAAAAATCCCCAAAATTTCCTCGGACCCCTCTCCCCAATTCCCCACCCCCACCCCCCCCAAAGCCCCCTCGGGACCCCCCAAAATCGCCCCCAGACCCCAAAAATCCCCCCAAAAAATTCAATAAAAAATCCTAAAAAATCCAAAACAGCCCCAAAAATTCCCAAAAAATCCCCAAAAATCCCCCGGACCCCTCCCCACCATTCCCCACCCCCACCCCCCCAGAACCCCCCCGGGACCCCCCCCAAACCCCCCCCGGTTCCCCCTCCCCCCCCCCCCGCTCACGCTGCGGAGCTCCTGGGTCCGGTCCTTCATGGTGGGGGGAGGGGCGCGGGCGGGGGTGGGGGAGGGGAGACCCCCCCGGAGGGGCTCGGGTGTGGGGGAGGGGCCGGGGACCCCCCTGGGCGCGAGCTTGGGGGGGCGGGTGGGGAGGGGCGGCCCGGGGGCTGCGGCGGCGGCTGCGGCTGCGGAGGGGGGGGGAGGGGCGAGAGCGGGGGGGGGAGGGGCGAGAGCGGGGGGGGGAGGGGTCTGGGGTGGGGGAGGGGCTGCGCAAAGGGGGCTGCGGCTGGGAATGGGGGCGGGGCTAAAGGGGGCGGGGTCTGCCTGGGGGAGGGGCTGGGCGGGGTTGGGGGAGGGGCTCAAAGGGGGAATTTTTTATTTTTGGGATTTTTTGGGGATTTTTTTGTTGGTTTTTTGGGGCGATTGAAAGATTTTTGGGGGATTTTTGTTTTGTGAATTTTTGGGGGATTTTTTGGGGCATTTTTGGAGAATTTTTGGGGAATTTTTTGGGGATTTGTTTCTGTGTTTTCTGGGATTTTTTGGGGGTTCTTTGGGGGTTTTTCGAGAGTTTTTTCGGGGAATTTTGGGATTTTTTGGGGATTTTTTGGGGGATTTTTTGAGAATTTTTTTTGGGATTTATTTTGCATTTTTTGGGATTTTTGGGATTTTTTGGGGGATTTTTGGGGGGATTTTTTGAGGATTTTTTTTGGTGATATTTGGGGCTATTTGTGGGGTTTTTTGGGATATTTTTGGGGATTTTTTGGGAGATTTTTTTTGAATTGGAGGGAGGGGTTTGGGGTGGGGGAGGGGCTGGGGGAGGAGCTTAAAGGGAGGTTTGGGGTGGGGGAGGGGATTTTGGTGGCTTTTTTTTATTTTATATTTTTGGGGGTTTGGGGGACTTTGGAGGATTTTTTGGGGGTTTTTTTGGGATTTTTTCGGGGATTTTTTGGGAATTTTTTGGGACTTTTTGAGGGATTTTTGAGGATTGTTTAAGGATTTTTTTGGGAATTTTTTGGGGATATTTTTTGGGATTTTTTGGGAGGGTTTTTTTTTGATATTTGGGGGGATTTTCTGGGGTGATTTTTTGGAGGAATGTTTGGGGATATTTTGAGGATATTTTGGAGTTTTTTGGGAATTTTTTTTTGTGTTTTTGGGGATTTTTGGGGGATTTTATGGGGAATTTTTTGTGAAATTTTTTGGGGGTTTTTGGGAATTTTTTGGGGATCGGAGGCAGGGGTTTGGGGTGGGGGAAATTTCAGGGATTTTGGGGAACTTCGGGGAGAATTTGGGGAATTTTGGGGAGGATTTTGGCGTTCTCAGGGGCATTTTGGGTTTTGGGGGGGGATTTTGAGATTTTTTGGGGAATTTTTTTTTTTATTTTTGGGGCCTCGTGTCCCACCCTGGAGATTTTTGGGGCATTTTGGGGCAATTTGAGCCATTTGGGCGGTCCCGGAAGCTCCCGGGGGGACTTTGGGGGAGTTTTGGGGTCACTTGATGAATTTTGGGGAATTATTTGGAGAATTCGGATGAAATTTGGAACTTCCGGGATTTTATTGGGACATTTTTGGGGTTTCGGGGCCACTTTTGAGGATTCTTGATGAATTTTAGGGCCGTTTTGAGGGGATTTTGGGACCATTTCGGGGAATTCTGATGGATTTTGGGGCTATTTTGGGGAATTCAGTTGAATTTTGGGAAATTCTGAAGAACTTTAGGGATATTTTGGGATTTTTGGGGTATTTTGGGGCCATTTGGGGATATTTTCAGGCCATTTTTGGGAAATTTCGATGATTTTTTTTATTTTGGAATTTTCGGGACATTTCAGGAATTTTAGGGGAATTTTTTGGGGCCATTTTGGGGAATTTTGGGTCCCTCCCCTCCCCATCAATTCATTCACAGCCGCCATTGCTGACTCAGCGTTTATTGACCCCACCCAGGGGCGTGGCCAACGCCGGCCACGCCCACAAACAAACCCGTCTACAGTTACATAAACCCCGCCCATTTCCCCAACAAACCCCGCCCACCATGCGCTGGGGGCGTGGCCTACGCTGTGCCGGAGGGGGCGGGGCTATGACGTCGCTGGTGCCGCCTTAGCCCCGCCCCCGAGGCGAAGCCCCGCCCACATACAGGACAATAAAATGGGCGGGGCCCCGACGCCATCTTGGATCCGGCAGCCATGTTGGTGGCAGCCATTTGTGCGTCGGCCATTTTGTTTTCCAACATGGCGGCCATATTTGTGTTGGCCGTTTTGTTTTCCAGAACAGCGGCCATATTGCTGTCGGCCATACTGGTGTCGGCCATATTGTTCCCCCCAACGGCAGCCATATTGTTTCCTCCAATCCCAACCGCATTTCCCCCAATGGCGGCCATATTGGTGGAGGCCATTTTGTTTCCCTCAACAGCCGCCATATTGCCAGCGGCCATATTGCTGCCGGCAGCCATCTTGTTTCCCCTAACAGCAGCCACATTACCACCTGCCATATTGTTTTTTCCAACAACAGCCATATTGCTGTCAGCCATATTGGTATCGGCCATATTGTTCCCCCCAATGGCAGCCATATTGGTGTTAGCCATATTGGTATCGGCCATATTGTTTCCCCCAATAGCAGCCATATTGGTGCTGGCGGCCATATTGTTTCCTGCAACAGCCGCCATTTTGGTGTCAGCCACATTGCTCCCCCCAATAGCAGCCCTATTGGTGCCGGCCATATTGTTTTTCTCGATGGCAGCCATTCTGGTGCTGGCGGCCATATTGCTCCCAACGGCAGCCATATGGCTCCCCCCAACACCCGCCATATTACTTTCGGCCATATTGCTCCCTCCAACGACAGCCATATTTGTGCCGGCAGCCATATTGCTCCCCTCAATGGCTGCCATATTACCATGAGCCATACTGCTGCCCCCAATGGCAGCCATATTGGTGACAGACATATTTTTTCCCACAATGGCGGCCATATTTGTACTGGCGGCCATATTGCTACCCCCAACACCCGCCATGTTACCATCAGCCATATTGCTCCCCCCAACGGCAGCCATATTTGTGCCGGCAGCCATATTGTTGCCAGCGGCCATATTGCTGCCCCCAACGGCGGCCATATTTGTGTTGCCGGCCATACTGCTCCCCCCAACAGCCACCACATTACCGTCGGCCATATTGCTCCCCCCAACGGCGGCCATATTTGCGCCGGCGGCCATATCGTTGCCGGCGGCCATATTGCTCCCACCAATGGCGGCCATATTTGTGCCGGCGGCCATATTTGCGCCGGCGGCCATATTGCTCCCCGCACCACCCGCCACATTGCCCTCAGCCATACTGCCCCCCTCAGCGCCGCCCCCCTCCTCCCTGCCGTGCGTCCTCTCGTGCTTCCTGAGCGCCGAGACGCCCCCGAAGCCCTTCCCGCAGCGCCCGCAGGCGAACGGCCGCTCCCCGGAGTGCGTGCGCCGGTGCTTGCCCAGCGCCGCCCTCTCCCCGAAGCCCTTCCCGCAGTCCCCGCAGCGCCAGGGCCGCTCGGCCGAGTGCGTCAGCCGGTGCCGCTTGAGGTCCCAGGAGGCCACGAAGGCCTTGCCGCAGTCGCCGCAGCGCCAGGGCCGCTCGCCGGTGTGCGTGCGCCGGTGCACGGCCAGGTCGGCCGGCTGCCGGAAGGCCTTGCCGCAGTCGCCGCAGCCGTACGGCTTCACGCCCTGGTGCGCCCGCTGGTGCCGCCGGAAGCTCGAGGGGTCGCCGAAGGTGCGGCCGCACTGCGGGCACAGGTACGGACGCTCGCCTGCGGGGGGGGGAGGGCGGTGTTCGTGGTGTGAGGGGGCTCCGGGGTAAAAATGTCCCGAGAAATATCCCTCAAGTTCTTAAAAATATCCCCCAAAAATTCCTAAAAACATTCCCCAAAATTCCAGAAAACAGCCCAAAAAAATTTATAAAAGACGTCCCTAAAATACTAAAAAAAAAAATTGCCCAAAATATCCCAAAATATATTTCTAAAATTATCCCCCAAAAATTCCTAAAAATATTTCCCAAAATTCTTGAAAATATCCCCCAAAAATTTATAAAAGACGTCCCTAAAATATTGAAAAAAAAAAATCTCCCCAAAATATTTCTAAAATTATCCCCCAAAAATTCCTAAAAATATTCCCCAAAAATTTCCGAAAATATCCCCAAAAATTTTATAAGATATCCTCAAAATATTAAAAAAAAATTCCCCAAATATCCTAAAATATTCTAAAAAAAATCCCAAAAATATCCCAAAAAATTCTGAAAATTCCCCTCACAGGTGTGACCTCACCTGTGGGACTCACCTGAAGGACCTCACCTGTGGGAACAATCCCCAGAAATATCCCCAAAAAAAAATCCCCAAAAAATCATAAAAAAATCAATAAAAAATCATAAAAAATTCCCAAAAAAAATTCCCAAAAACCCCAAAAAATTCCCCAAAATCCCGGAATTTCACCCGTGGGTGCCTCACCTGTGTGGACCCTCTGGTGGCTCTGGTAGGAGGAGAGCTGGGTGAAGGCCTTGCCGCAGGTGCGGCACGGGAAGGGCTTGGCGGCGGCGTGGATGCGCTGGTGGCACGAGAGCGACGACGAGCGGCCGAAGCTCTTCCCGCACTCCGCGCACAGGTACGGGCGCTCACCTGCACGGACGGGTGTGTCACAGGTGTGTCACGGGTGTGTCACGGGTGTGTCAGGTGTGTCACGGGTGTGTCACAAGCGTGTCACGGGTGTGTCACAGGTGTGTCACGGGTGTGTCACAAGCGTGTCACGGGGTGGTGTCACGGGTGTGTCACTGGGTGTGTCACGGGTGTGTCAGGTGTGTCACGGGTGTGTCAGGTGTGTCAGGTGTGTCACAGGTGTGTCACAGGTGTGTCACGGGTGTGTCACAAGCGTGTCACGGGTGTGTCACGGATGTGTCACGGGTGTGTCACCGCCCCCCAGGTGTGTCCTCAGGTGTCTCAAGTGTGTCTCACCTATCCCAGGTGTATCTCAGGTATCCCAGGTGTGCCCAGGTGTGAGTAACCTATCCCAGGTGTATATAGCCTATCCCAGCTGTACCCCAGGTGTACCCAGGTGTGCCCAGGTGTATCCCAGGTGTATCCCAGGTGTGAGTAACCCTATCCCAGGTGTATATAGCCTATCCCAGCTGTACCCAGGTGTGCCCAGGTGTGCCCAGGTGTATCCCAGGTGTATCTAGGTGTATTTTAGCTGTGTTTTTACCCCCCCAGGTGTGCCCAGGTGCGTCCCACACTCACCCGTGTGCGCCCTCAGGTGGTTGCGCAGGTCCTTGCGCTCGGCGTAG